GGTTGATATTATGCCAACTCGTATAAATGATATAATTAGAGCTGATGGTGGCTAAACAAGATGGTAAACAATTATTTACCAAAGTTTTAATATAATTATCAAAAGTAAAGCATCGCATAAAAATGACACAAAATTATTTGTTTGTTTCATCACTGCGTACCACATTGATTCGTCACGAGTCTAAAAAATAAGATTTGTAACACTGCACCTTCTAAATCACAATATATTGTAAGATTATCTAGTATTAGTGATACAACAGTCAGAAAACTTGGGAAAGTATTTTTATGAACAAAATACAAGATCTGATTACCAATATCGCACTTTACTGAAAATTCTTTGGAAAATGACAATACATTTCGTCGAGGAGTGAAAAAAAGTATAATTGATTAATCATTAAATAATCTATTATGTTCCAAAAGGGAATTTTTTTTCTATCAAAGAAAAAAATTTGCTTGAGGAAAAAAAAAAATAGTTTAATAAAATATTTCTCATTGCATAATGATAACTGTATGTATTATTTGTATTGATCTTTAAAATTAAAAAGATCCTTGTAATTTATTGAATTTATTGAAGCGTAAGGTTACAAAAAAAAAAAAGAGAAAAAATAGAGGACGTTGTCCAAATGTAGGCGAAACAATAAGATGTATACTATGTACACATACGTTCATTCATTTAAATAAAGTACATAACCTTAAAAAGATTTTTTTTTTAAAAAAAAAAAAAAAAAATTCGATGAAATAAATAAAATAAATAATAAAAAATATATGAGAAAAATATAGCAATATTACAAACCCGTTGCAAATCTGGCTTCACAACTCCAAAGGTCGATGAAGTATCAGATCCTTTCTCCGAATCTTCTGTATCGCTCCAAGACTCTTTAGAATGAAATCTTGCACGCTTGCATACTATGTGCGCATAATATACGGGAGTAATCTAATAGGATATTTCAAACCACGAAATATATTAATACAGTATATAGTGTCAAAATTTACTAAGACATATTGAGATTCTAACGTACTACAGATACTGCGCGAGTTGCACGCGCATAAACATAGCATAGATTGTATGAGAGTTCTTGAATGCTGAAGTAAAAATTCAATTAAAAATTAAGTAAAAAAACTATAATAATAACTTTTTATTTAATTAAACAAAAAACCCTAACTCTTTTGGTGTGAAATCATTTTCATCGTGCAAAACAGAGTAATGTGTGGATCGTGAGGTTCCTTGTAATCCGGCATGACTTTGCAAGTCTAATGATATTTTATGATAAAAATAGTCTTTGAAAAAGTCTTTACATATAAAGTAAAAAGAAAAAGAAATTACACGTAACTTACAGAAATTAAAATCAAACGGGCGAGTAATTCCTGTTTCTACAACCGTTCCGGGAAGGCAGTTACCAGTACGATCAGTATCACGCTTCTCCATAGGAAAGAAGCGGGTGTGATGTCGTTTTTGTACAACGATGAATGTTAAAGTCGGCTTATATTTAGGATCAAGAGAAGCACAAGCAGCTAAACATAACATCCACATGAACCTTATTTAATATAATTAATATATAACAATGTACATAAAATTATAAATCACTACCTTTAACAGCCGCTACTTCACTTTCAAGGACCTGACTGAATTGGCCTTCAGATACCCCATCGCGGTAAAAAAGAATTCTTTCTGGTTTCCTTCCACAAGTTTGATAAAACAATTTCAAAAGTTCTTTTGTCATATTAGCCAAATCAGCAATCATTTCATTTCTACCTGTTTGTATACGAATTGAAGCGGAATATCTTGATGCCTTGGCATCCATAGATCCGCAAACGACAGCAATAGATGGACGTTTAGTATCACCTGTAATTTAAATTTTTTCTTTTTTTAAAAAAAAAAGAAAATTAAATTTGTTAACAAAAGAAACTCGATTTACATGAACCTACCGGGCGCGGGATGAGCCACGTCGGCTCCCATTACAATTGTTGGTTGGACGGCTATGAAAGGGATTTGATTTGGACTGATAAATGCATTCATTCCTCCTAATTTGACGTTAATCTTTAGGCAGACATTTGCACAATATTGTTTCTTGGCCGAAATAATGTGTCGGCTTTGCACGCATTGACTTGAAACTCCAATTACAGTATCGGTGACACGTTTAATTTCAGCATATAGTGGAACTCCGATATTGGGCAGAACACATAAAATTAATTGAGGCTGAGCTTTGGCCGTGTTTCCAGCGTTTATCCATGCATGCTTCAGTGACTGTTCGATGTCACCTTGTGGATTAGCATGCGAGATGGGCGGTGTCGTATTTGGAATATTCTAATTAAAATTTTATAATTAAAATTTAACGTGTCATGTAATAAAAAAAAAAAAAAAGTGAATTTATGATTAACGATATACCATGCCGGTTTCTATACAGGTGATTACAAGTTGACGAACAAATTTTTTAACAACATCTGTAGGGTACTCTTGTTCTGTACCAAATGCGACGACAGACCATGAACCAAGGGTAGCTCCTGTGGCTACCTTTTTATCTCTTAAATTCCATACTCCTTCACGTGGTTGGAAATCAGCTTCTCGAGAGGACGGGTGATATTGTAAATTGGGCGCGGGGAGCACACGCGCTGGAACCTAAAAGTTTATTTATTTATTTATTTATTTAATAAAATAAAATATTATACAGCAAAAAAAGAAACTAAAAAACATAATTAAAGTCTCTTTGAGTACGAACTACAATCATTTCATTGCCAATGTTCATCCCAAAATTTTGGAGATATTCATTGTTACGATAATTTAGCAATTCAAAGCCTTGCTTAATTTTATTAGCACGAATGTGAGGCGGTTGGCAAGTGAACTTTATCATATCGGCAGTCTGTTTTCCATTAAGCTTGCGGATATAACGCTGCCCCTTTGTTATTATTTTATCAATAAAGTTATTATGATTCAGGTGAATTAAATACAAACACGTAATTCTTTTCTAGTAAAGATAGGATGTTTTTAAAGAAATAAAAATGTCATACTTTAATTATTTCACAGACTTCCATCGGAAGATAGACTTTTCTCGCGACCACGACACACGGAAGGAATGGATAATTAAGACGTTTATTATACCGTTGTTGAAAATATTCTGCCACATTTGTAATAGCGCCTTCACTATCAAAGGTTGTTTCTAAAGCGGATTTTGGGGTGATTTGGTCAATCTTGAATCGACGTCTAGCAGCAGCTTCGCCACGATGAATGACGTTAATTCTCACATTCTTTAAAAATCTTTCAATAACAAAGTGATCCTTCACGTTTAATCCTCGACGTAAATCTTCAGGTGTTCTTCGGCCAAGAATCTTTGCAACTATGTTAACTAATTGCCCTGATTCGTAAAATACCGTTGCACTCACATCGAGATTCATCATGATTCTACCACTAGTAGGACGTGCGGATTGATAATATCCTTGCCAAACTTCAACACCTCCTTGCAGCGATTGAGATCCTTGAGGCGTGTAAAACGAACGACCAACTGTTTCATGCATCATTGAAGGACGGTGTCTGATTAAAACGTCAAGAGCCATAATAGCTATTTTTTGTAATAAAATAATTAAAATAAGTAAATAACCTTTTATTGTAATAGATTGATTAATGAATAACATTACTACTAACCCGTCAAGCTATTTGAGGTTAATGAACATTTTCTCTTAAGGAACAAACTGAGTTCCTCCATGTTAATCTCATTGACCTTCCTAATTTTGATCTTGAAGGGTTTGGATTGAAGTTTTGACGTAGTAGCTCTGGCGTCATCCCTAAGGGTGATCTGAGATATGTAAAGATGTAAAGATGTTAGTCCCATCAATTTTTAAAAAAAAAAAGAAAAAAAAAAAAAATCCACCTCATATGTAGCAGAGTCTCCTGTCGGTAACGGTTTAGCAGTAAACATATTTTTACGTCCTAACATGACAAACAATAAAATGATTAGACGAATTCGGCATTATTTTCAATAGGTCGATGATTAGTTACCATCAAAAACCGGCCTGACAGCATCAAATGCAGAACGTTCAAGCTCCCGAAAAACCTTTCTGTTAAGGATAGGAGATACATCCGGGGAAATTGTAATATCGTAGTGGATAATTTTTGCTTCAGGAAGTTTGGTTACTTCAAAGAAATTAGTCCGAACGCGGATATTTATTCCCGAATTTTCCATCGGTGCTGCGGCTATTAAGTTAAAGAGAAAAGTGATTTAGGATTATACACGAAAGAGGATGGAATTTGATGTTCTTAAATAACTATTTGAGAATCTGAAAAGGGTATTATTTGATTTATTTGCTTTGGCTAAGTAGAATGAATAATTATATGAAAGGAAAAACATGTGTAGAGTAAGATTTATTTCATCATCTTTATTAAAAGCGCAAAGTCTACGTATAATATATAGAATTATTATTCGATTATATATCACTTTAAAAAGGGAGATTGATTCATTATTCATCATATAAAGGATATCGATAAAAAGATAAAAGGAAATTTGGTTTAACTATTTTAGACATCACGTCAAATCTTTTATGGTGAGCTTTAATTTTAATATAAGGAATAAAATTAAGCCACAACGTGTAAATTAAATATCGTTTTCGGCTTGGTATTTGAATTCAAATTTACAAATTTACAATTTTGTCTTTTTTTTTTTTTTAAACAAAAATTTTAGATTTCTCGTTTAGAATAAAAATAAAGAAGCTTTCCTGATACCATAATTTAGGAAAGTATATTATAAAATAACCATTAAATTTTTTTTTTTTAAAAAAAAAAGAAAAAAAAAATAAATAAATCAAATTTTGATTTCGCCAAAGGCACCTCACAAATCATGGCGAAAACTCCAAATTAATTATCGGTTATTGATGGACTTTGACATTTGACAAATGTTTAAACACAATATTTTCCAATTCCGACTAGATATAATATATTGAATTTTTTACAATTTAATTACATATTTTTTTTTTTTCGCAAATTTTACGATTTATAACGTTACGACGACATTATTAATTTCCAGTGAAATAATCCATTACTATGACATAATTTAATGTTTTTGGATTTTGCGAAATCCCAAATATTTCAATTTTATGATTGAATTCAAGTTCAGCAATCATCTATAGCGATCAAAATAAAATCCAGAATTAATATTTAACGAAAACAAAAAAATTTAATTTTTTTTAAAAAAAAAAAAAATTTAATTTACCAATTTTAATTCACGTTGGGTTATACGAGAAGAGTGAATTATCTCTTTCAATAAAACCCTCCAATCAACGTCCCAATCTTTAAACTCAGAAGTTTTCCCATTTTTCCAAATTGCAAAATAATTTAAAGATTCACCAACTGAATCTTTTGAATAATATGAAATATGATCGAATTGATTATAGGGTATCCAATTTTCATCGCTTGATAATTTCTGTAATTTCATCAGTTCAAAAGGTATTTTCACAAATATATCATGATCTCGTTGTGTTGAAGAGAAGGTTTTGTCTAATTTCAATGCTAAATTATGTGAATAATCCGTTTCGGATGGTGAATGTTTTACATCCTTTACAATTTTATAATTTGAATATAAATTTTTGCTAGCTTTACAACCCATAATTGATTATAAAATTAGAAAATTGGGTATATATTTTATTTTATTTTATTTTTTTTTTTGAAAAATTCTTTTTTGTTTGAAGTGCAGAAATCAACATTTCCCTCTTTTTAATGGTTTTGAAAACCTTCATTTGAGGAACCAAATATGGTACAATCCTAATCACAGCAAGCAAGATTTTTACCTGTTATCTCAATTAGTCATCAATTAAATTCGGAGTTATTTAACGAAACAGTTTCAAAAAAAAAAATGTATAAAAGAGGAAATTGTGTATATGGGAGGTTTGCTATTAAAATCAAGTTACGAACATAGTAAATCATATGATCTGTAACGTGATTTTAATAGCTTACCTCCCATATATATATTTAACTAAAATAGGTAATTGATTTCTAAATCCGGATGTTAATTGTTAACTATTTTGTTAACCAAAGTGTAAATCTTTTGCATCACTCGTTTATATAATTAACATAATTGTAATCTCCATTTAACGTTTTAAACATTTCAATAATGTCATAAATGGTCAAATCTTCATAAATGTCATCATTCAAAAGATCATTTTCTTAATTTCCTTCGCAAATTTCAACTTGTTTGCCTTTTCTTTTAACATCAGCCTTTTCATTTAAATCATCTTTTTTCAATTTTGACAACACAATTTCATCAACTTGACGTTCTATTATTTTAACTAGTTTGTTGAGTTTTGTTCTTACAATTCTTTCATCCTTCAACACTTGACCACAAAAATTTTCTAAAAGGTGTTTCTCTCGTTGACGTGTATCAAATATCTGTTGAAACTTATTCCTTCGAATGATGTCTTGTTGATTTGCAATTTTCTTGTCAAGTATTTCTCGATGTTTTATCACCAAATGTAATGGTTTAAGCTTATGTGTCTGTAATAAATACAATGGTTTCAATCTCAGGTTATTTAACGAATCAATGTTCCTTTGTCTTGCAGGGTCATTAACGTCATGATTCGAGAGTGAAAAGGTGTTCGAAGTTGGTGATTTACAACCGAGCATACAAAACGATCAAGAGCTAGATTAGAGCGATCAATGCGATTACCGCGCAAGAGATTGATCTGAAAATGATAATGCGTTGATTGAAGATTTCCGTAACGTCATTGTGAGCGGTAGTTTGAGATGGAATTGAAATTTCGGATGCGATGGATCGTGAAAAGGTGGTGTAGACGTATTCATGTGGTTTAGCGTAGGATTGTGTAGCAGGATATGAATCCTGTAAACGCGTTTTAATACTTGAATTCATGATAAACATGATGAAAAATGAATAGAGTTTCTTAGTCATATAAAATAAAAAGGTTGAAAGTGTTTTGTTAAATTTTTTTTTTTGACATGATTTGTGGGATTTCTCCCCCATTTTATAGATAAACATTAATTAGGAAATCATGCGTAGTAAACGAAGAGCGTGAGAGAATAAGATGGAGAGACACGCGCGATCAAAGAATTAATCAAGAATTAATCACATATCATCCTGCATATCATTAAGGAAAAGTTTAATCGTCATTACATAAATTGCTTTTACCACGAACAATGCAAGGTAACCGATACATAATTATTGTTACAGAATATCTCACCAAATGGGCTGAGGCTGCATAATTCATTTATCAAGAAATCGTGTGTAGGCATGGAACTCCAAAGGAAATATTAACTTAAGCATAATTCAATCTTAAATTCTAATGTAAGCCCCCCTTGCACGAGGTATCCCTTTGTTCTGATGAGAAAAAAAATAATTGAATCAGTAAGACATCCATTTACATTCGCGTGTTATCAAATATTGATGAAACCTTTATGTAACCTAAAATACTTTATCAAATCATGCATTTTTTATGCCTTTTTGCAAAAAAAAAAATAATAATAATAATAATAATCAAAAATATTACAGTACAAAGTATAGAAGTATATTTATTAAAAATACAGTATTTGATTTTGATTATAAATATGTGTTAATATAGTATGTTACAGAATAAAATAATCTATCACATTAGATATTACAATAAATATACATATATATATATATCTATTTTAGATTTGAAAGTAAAAGTTGATTCTCGGTTCCTAAAACTACTTAGTTAAGTTTTCAATAATTTGTAAAAAAGTTATGGTTTCCAAGCCGGTCGCGAAGTATGAATTATGACTGATGCGGACGATCCCGATTGAAGAAGTAGTATTTGGTTGAATATTCGCTACTGTAAATATACCCATCTTGATATTTGGTACCGCCTATCATTGTTATTTGTTATTTGTTATTTGTTATTTTTTAAAAAAAAATAATATAAAAATACATATCACTTACATTCATCTACTGGGGGGGCTATACCATCTATAGTACCTAAACGAATTGTAAAAGCAACGTCACTAAAGACACCTTTTCCATTATTAGCCGTAGCAATCAATAAAAGCCACGGAATGTTTTTGGGTCCATCGGGAGATGGAATTTGGGATAAAAGTCTCGAAATAACAGATGAATTATCACAATCGAGTGTAGAATGCCAAGTAGCTCTACCTCCGTTAACAGCTAATTTATTTGTAATTTCCATTAAAATAGAATTTAGACGATACAAGTCACTTAATTTTTTACTTACGTTCTTTTTGGTAGTAATGATCGCCAACCATATAATCGACGGCATCTTCATGATCTTCAGATACTCTTTTATTGTAAAGTTTAGCATCAGGTCCAACTAAAAAAAGAAAAAAAAAAAATTTATTTATGATTTTTAGATAAAGACGGCGACGTGGATCAGCTTACCTGCATCCCAGATGTGAGAGGAAACATTACATTTGTACATTTGTACACCAGAACCATATAGCGTGAATTTATATTTATATCCGGCTGGTACCAAGATTCCTAGTGGTATAATCACTTCTGATGGGTCTATAAATAATTTAAAAGAATTGGTAAATTTATTGTTATTAACCATCGAGAAATCATACAAATAAAAAGAAGTGGTGCCTTGGTAGTCTCCTATTGGACACAGTTCACGTTTGAACAATGGTGACGCATAAACATAAACGAAGAATGATGGTATGATTAAGATTAACATCAAGGATTTTGTGAATGCCATCGTACAATTTTAAGGTATTCTTAAATTTCCGTATTTGAAAGAAAAAAAGTGAGAGTGAACCTGTACGGTTTTTATATAAAGCGTAAAGATTTTTTTTTTTTGCCGGTACTACTCTTATTTTTTAAATTAAATTCCCAAGTTTAAAATATTATTGGATGATTAATAATGATTATATGTATCTCTTTTTTTTTAGAATCTTTTTTTATTTTAAATATAAATCAAGAATGAATTAATTCACAATGAAATTCCCATTTAAGAATGTATAATAGTAACCATCTTCGTAGTTTGCAAGTACTTGAATATAGGAGGCACTAGCACAAAAAAAAATAAAATATTTTGAACACGAGTACAATTAAATTTAAAGTTTAATCTGGATTAATTAAAAAAGATCCGATTTTTTTTTAATTTTAGATCATTTTACATTTATGGGAATATTTAATAATCCAAGAATAACTTGCATGGATTCAAGTTTTTTTAAAAATGAGGTTTAATTCTTAAAAATTTATTTATTTATTTATTTAATTTTTTTTTTTTTTGAGACTTTCCTTAAAAAAGTCATCACCTTTCCAGATGTCCTCATTTTCCAAATTCATTTGCAATTTGTATTTGTTAGTATATGACTTGTTATTATTATTTCATTTGACCAGATTTGTTATGTAATTTTCTTTTAATAGGATCGGCATTAACCTATTTAGTATGTAAAGTAAATTTGGTTCTTTGTTTCCTTGTAATTAAAATGTTTCATTTAATTGTACATATTATATATGGATATTACATCCTCTATATGTTAATATATTGTTTATTAAGTTGATTCTTTTATTTTAAAAGATTTTTACTAAAATAAAAAGAGAAAATTTTTTCTTATAATTTACTAAATTAGAACTAGAAACTAATAATACACTTTTTTTTTTAGCCGCGTCTATTTTTAGCTGGAAACGTCATATGATGTTTACGTGATCAATTTGTCAAGTAAGTAATTGTTTCACCTTATATATTCAATACAAAAGGAAATTTTACCGCCTCTGGAAAGTTATAGAATGACTGTTATATTAGGTAAGAAGTTGTCTTGGCGAATTAAATACCAGCAGTAGTCTAGTAGACTTGCGTCATTGTCGGTTCACTTGGGTAAATTAAAACAGTAGGTAGAGAACTGGAAGCGCTTCGTGGCCTCTCTCTTCAGTGGGTTTGTCTAGGCGTGTTTTTTTTGGTAAAGGTCTACTGATTCTGAATAAGGGATTGGTTATGTCTTCCTTTGCATAACAAAATTAATCTGTTTAGCGAGTTTACTTCACCGAAAGCTTGCGAGAACGTCGAGTTTACTCACCGAAAGATTGCGAGAACGTCCTTCTCTATTTGTTATTGTCAATTGTTTTATCTACTTCAATCGGCAGCGTTTAAGAAATTATTCTATCTCGCTGGTCAATTGTTTTTTTTCATTATGATTGTCCATTACTTGGTAAATAAATTGGAGAACTGGAAGCTCTTCGTGGCCTCGCTTAGCGAGAACGTCCTTCTTCATTTATTTATCTATTTAGTGACTTACTTAGATTTATCTAACTATTTTTTTTTAAAAAATTCTTTAAATTAGATAATAATTAATTAGGTAACGAACGGATGACAATTTCTTAAAAAAGTTCTGAAATGTGATTTTTTTGTTTATTTAAATTCCTTTTGTTAAACAAACGAAATTAAAAATAGATTTCATATGATTTTATTAAACTCAATGTCACAATTCCCTTTGTAATAAAAGTAATTGTTCATATTTGTATCATGTGAAAGTAATTATATCGATACCCATCCATTATATGGGTGAATTTACAATTGCGGGATAAATTTACCGGAAATCAAGTTAATTATGTAGGTAATAGAAGTTGCTTTGACAATTATCCTTTGCCATCTTTTTTTTAAAAAAATTCAGACATGTTTCAATTGTTGCTTTTTTTAAAAAAATTTTTTTTTTTTTATTTCTCAATCTATTTCTCAATATTTTTATGGAAAAAATACGAATTTTAAGAATGTAAGTTTATAAACTCATAAATTATGGAATTTTTAAAATTAAACGACTATAAATAGATTTCATGAAATTTTTACTTAACTGACTTTTTCATTTACATTAAATATTTATCTAATGCGTTTGTTTTAGGCGGCTTCAAAATTAATGAATAAAACCATTATATGAATATTTCAATTGCAAGAAAGAAAGAAATTAGAATTATTAAAATTATGCTATTTATATATTGCTAAATAAATGTACACAATTTACTATAATTATAAAAAAATTTTACGGTTCAAAATACCGTAATCAATCAAATAAATTGAGAGAGAAAAGGCATCCTTTTCTACAATTGAATTTAAATAATAATGCTTCATGAAAAAATCCTTACATTTCAAAGGTGAATACTTACTTTCTCATAAATGTTATATCCAACTTTGGACGTACAAATTTTCAAATTCAATGCCTCAGCCAAATCTTATATACGTTGTACACACGGTATTTTTATATGTCCTTGATTAATAGATTTGATTAAATAACTCACTTTATCAAATCAATTGGTCGTTAGCGAAAAATAGAATCATACATAATTGCGATAATTAAAAAAAGCTACTATATTCTATGGTTTTAATATACTGATTTGTTAAAAATATACAATTCATATAAATAAAAAGACAAGTTTTTTTGTCAACACATTTTACTAATTAAACAAATTATAGAAATTGGAACCTTTAATGTAGTTCGTATACATATATCAATTAAAAATGGACTCCTCCAGCCACCCTACAGTACACATATGATGTCCAATTAGACATAAATAAGTTTATATGTCCGATTTGATAAAAATGTCAACACAGCAAAAAAAAAATATTTTTTATAGAAAGCACAAATTTGATTGATAAGGAACAATCAAAGATGAATGAAGTTACAGAGATGCTCAATATGGCATGTTATTAACTATATGATGTACCAAAATTTGAGCCCGTTTTTGCGTCACAAAATCCAATTATTCCTATTTTTATCCAGTAATACACTGTAAACTGTTAAAGTTAAATTTGAATTCGATCCACAAAATAAAAAATGAACCGTGTTTTCTTATATGAATTACATATTACAAAAACCATCTGAATTTACATTTTGCAAATTGTTAACGATATAGCGTAACTTTAATTGGATGAAAGAGACGAAATTCATCCTTTCTTTTTTTTTTTTTTTTTCTCCTATAAATACAGAGAGAATCGTTGTCCCCAGTTTACAAAAAAAAAAAAAAAATTCCAACTTCTTTTGCTAGATATAAGATCATCTATTTATATAAATATAAAATAAAAAAAATTATAGATAATGAACACAAAAATTTCATCATTACTCATATACACTTTAGCATCCTTAATATTCATATCATTAGTTAAGGCAGATAAAGTACAGCATCCTTATTATGATAAACATGTTATTTTATCCACCGTGATTGGTACAAAGACTGGTAAGTAAAGGAAAAGAGTTTTTTTTTTTTTAATTTTTTCTAATTAATTATTTCAAAGTAAAAAAGAAAGAAACCCAACCTTTTTCCTTTTTATTTTACGTAAATAATAGAACAACCAATGCTTGATTTACCAGAGAATCTTACAATTCCTCATGATTATAAATTTAAATTCTTGTTATACGCACGTGGTTTTCAAATTTACAATTGTAAGATAGATAAAGATCATGTTGGAAATTGGACATTAGGTAATTATAAAAATTAATTGGTCCGAAAATATTTAATCGCATTGCGTCACGTGTCATACTAAAAAATGGTCTTCATTTTGAAAAATATTTAGCTACACCTGACGCACATTTGATAAATGATGACGAAACCGAAATATTCTCTCCACTTTTTCAAGTTGCTTATCATTTTGGTTTAAAAGAACGTATGTATAATTTTTTTTTTTTTAAAAAAATTTTCTTACATAAAACGAATCAGAGTATTAAGATTTTTTCGTGATGATTACATAGCAATCAATGGAGGAAGTTCAACCTGGATATCAATATTACCAGGTGATGAATCTGGAGTCACAACCAGAACAATTGCTACAAATGAAGCTCCTAATGATCCAAACAAGAATATTCCATGGCTATTAACTGAAGCTACGGTAATTACTTATCTTATTCTTATATATTATTATAAATTTTATGAAGGTGTAATAAATCCTTTTTCTATCCTTTCAGGTCAACTATGGTGACCATGGTGCTTTCCATGATATTACTCATTTACTCCGCGTAAAAACACGTAACGGTGTCGCTCCTCCTAATGAAAGCTGTGGGACAACTTACAAAGATGGATCATTTTACTTTAGTGAATATGATTCTGAATATTGGTTTTATCATAGATAATTTTATTATTATTCATTTTTTTTGTATATTATCGCATTATAATTATTATGTAATAAAATATCATTTTGCATTATTAATGTCGGAGAAAATAGTGAACTTTTTTTTCATATTTAAAAAATAAAGATGCAATTCTGCTGAATTGTCCAATGAGGGTCAGAATAAAAATTGAACTTGCCATATTCAGAGAATTAAAATTGACTCCATTCGGCATATAACATATTTCAGAACTTTTTTTAAATCGGAATTAATGATCCGTTACGGCAAGATCCGAAGTCAGATGTAACATTTTTTATTTTCGAAAAAAAAAAAAAATTTTTTAAAACCCCACATTTTTTTTTTATTTTATCATTTTTTTTTTTTTTAAAAAAAAAAAGTTCTGATAATCAAAAATGTCTACAAGTAAAATTCCTTCAGAATGCCCTATGCATGAAAAAACTGCGCAGCGTTTTCAAAGTGAAATATCGTATAATGATACTTCGAAAGAGACAAGTTGTGGAGTTTCTCTTTCGCCAGACAATCTAATGCCGCAACTTTCCCAAGAACCAGTACCTGGACAACAAATACCCCTTCCAACTAATCGTATCATTTCTTCAATTCCAAAATCTAAAGGTTCCGAATATTGGGAATATCCTTCCCCTCAACAATTTTATAGTGCTTTAGTTAGGAAAGGTTGGGAAACTCCCGAGGAAAGTATTGAAATGATGGTTTCTATACATAACTTTCTAAATGATAAAGCCTGGAATGAAATCCTCAAATGGGAAAAAATGAAAAAATGGTACGTAATAATAATCACCCTAATGAATTATCACATCACGAAAAAAAAAACATAATTAAATTGGAATTTCATTAATTTTAAAAAGCAATTGTGATGGGCCCAAATTATTACGATTCAGAGGAAGGCCGCAAGAACCAAGTCCAAAAGCTCGAATGTTACAATGGGCTTCAAAATTATTTCCTTCGATAGGGTAAACGTTCTTTTTCGGATAACGTTTATTCATTCTAAAATAATCTTTTACTGAAATATTTTTAAATTTTTAGTACACCGCCTCCTTTTGATCGCCATGATTGGACGATTGATAGGTGTGGTAGAGAAGTACGTTATGTAATCGATTATTATTCGGCACCTGATGAAGGGGAAAATCCTGTATTTTATCTTGACGTACGACCAGCCTTGGATTCCTTTGATAGTGTCGTTGATAGAATTAAAGTTGCTACCAAGGAAACTTTTGCGCAGCTTAGAGAAAGAGCAAAGGCTGCAAGGCAAGGAACTGGAGATGATAGATCATGATAACCTATTCTTTTCAAAAAAAAAAAAAAAATGAAAAATATTTCTAGATGGAATTTTTTTGTCGGCTTGGAATCAGGATTCCGATTTGGGTTACGTTTAATTATTCTATATCCAAATATAGACATTACACAATCAATGTGTGCATAAAATGACCATAAAAAGAAATCAAGTGATAATTTGCTTTCAAACCCTTTTAATTTATTTCTGTTAAAACTGATTAGTTTAAAATACGGAACACTCCCTTTATTATGCGCTGTTATTGTTTACATCACCTAAACTATTAATGGATTCTCTCATCTTTTATAAATACCAACCTAACTTCCATTTTTTTAAAAAAAAATGTTAATTTAAATGTCTTACAGACGTTCGAAAAATAGTAACTCGACCGTTTTCTCAACCTTTCCTTCAAAACGTAACAGAAATAAATTTGGATTATGTCCAACGTGTAAAAGGTCGAATACAAACCCTGATTGGTGTCAAATATGTAATTCGGAACGTTTTCGTCAACAATTTTGTCATTGGACAAGTGGCAGCAAACTGATTGATGACTTTATTAAAGATACTCAATTAAGTGCTACTAATAATAGACAAATTTTAGAATGGATACCATACAGTCAATTTAATGTTTTGAAATTTGCTGCTACAGGTGGTTTCGCTTCAGTTTATTCGGCGATTTGGCGGGATGGATTTATTACGAAATGGAATTATAAAGAGAGTAAATGGGAAAGGAGGAGTAGATGGGGGGTTGCATTAAAAGTTTTGAATGATTCCGCCGAGTTGGCTTCGGCATTTTTAGAAGAGGTAATTTTTTTTTTTTTTTACCGCATACTTATTCATCATTCGATTATATTAATTAATAAATCTTTTTTTTTTAATAAAAAAAAAAAAAACCTTTTAACCAATTATTAAACGTGATAAAAAGGTTAAAGCATGTGTCAAATGTGGAGGTGGATTTGGTTTAATTAGATGTTATGGTTTATCACAAGATCCAACCACGAAAAATTTCATTATTGTGTTATATCACGCGCATCATGGTAGCTTAAAATCTTATTTGGGACAACATTATGGAGAACTTGATTGGACTTATAAGTTAGGAATATTAAATCAAATTGCTGAAGGACTAAAGAAAATTCATCAAGCTGGCCTTGTTCACAGGGATTTTCACAGTGGAAACATCCTGCTAAGTAATTACGCTGAAATAGCAGATTTGGGGTTTACGGGACCTGTGAGTAAGAAAGATTTATCAACTTCGACGACTTCTAAACATAAACACGTGGTTTATGGCGTTTTGCCTTATATATCACCCGAAGTTTTACGTGGAATAAAATATGATTATGCGGCTGATGTCTATAGTTTTGGTATCGTAATGTGGGAGGTAGCAACATGTTTACCTCCATTCAATGATCGTGCGCATGACGCCTATCTCGCTTTAGATATTTGTCTAGGGCTTCGACCTAATGTTGAAGATTATATACCGGAACCTTTTGTTAAATTAATGACGCGTTGTTGGGATGCAAAACCCAGTTCACGTCCTTCTGCTCATGACATATATCAAACTTTACATACCTGGTATTGGAATTTGAAAGATGGTGACGGTAACGCGGTAACTAAATCATTTATAAATGCGGACAGTAATGATTTTCAGTCTTCAACCCCGGCTTCGAGCAGACCTGTAACTCAAACGCATCCGCTAGCAGTTTATACAAGTCGTTTATTGAATTTCCACGATCTGCCTGAACCAGTAAATGCTCTACATACGACTGGACGACGAATTCCAATTACAAGTATGTTTGGGTTTTAAAATATTTCGCAAAGTGCTTAATATAAAGAAGTCTAACACTTTTGTTATAATGTTAGGTTCAGTTGGCATTGTCTCAAACGATAGTTTAGGTAAATCGATTTATCCTTGAAAAAAAGCTGTCACTTTGTTTTTATTTTTATTTTTCTTTATTGAACAAATCATCTCTTTTATTTTGTAGAAGAATATCGAACGCGTCAACTTGATGATGAGCTTTCATTTGGTATATCAAAATTGCTTTATGTAATAACTTGAATTTCATCCTTAATATAATGTTCTTAAATCTTTTTTTATAACCTTACTATATTTAGAAAATTGTTTTTCTGATAGAATTGAAACAGTAACATTATCCGAAGGTATATTTAATTTAAATATCAAAACAAATCGTATGATCACAGAAATTTCATAAGAACTTTTTCATTTAAATTTCTAACTTATTTTATTGTTTTTAACTTTAGTTACGGTCGTATCTGAAAAGGAAGAACAATATGTTTCGCGTCAAGTTAATGGGGTATTTCCTTGTGAAGATAGATAAATTGTGATGATTAGTTCATTCTTCAAAAAAAAATTATATATATACACACACATACATGTACTTTATTTAGTTTTGCATAATTATTTATATAACTATAGGGAACGGTTTCGGTAAGTCCGGAGCACAAGTGTAACGGAAGGGACCGACCAACCATGTATCGACTCAAATTTTGAGCGGGACACCTCGTGTAACATGTGGCTAGTATAAGAAAGTCCTTCGCTTCGCTCCGGACCAATAATAATTAGATACTTTCAAAAAGAAAATGTTTTACACTTAATTACAACTTAATAGATAATAATATAATAAATTCGGGAGTACCCTAATTCACATGAATATTATTAATTATTTATATTTTGATTTTATTGATTTACCGTAATTACAACTAATAGTACCCGGGTCTTATTCAAACCATCATATAAATAATACTGTGTAGAGATCCGGGTATATTATATATAGGAGGGTATTATTATATATAGGTATGTTTTATTTCGAAAATGCAAAATCAAGAAAATGGTTATCCCTTAAATTGTAGGTAAAAATTAGTTATAAAACATTAGTGATCATAAAATAATAAATAAAGTTTATTAGATTTATTATATTGAGATGTATTAAATGATAGTATTTTTAAATTTTTAAAATTAATAATTATTAATATATATCAATTTTTCAATTTTCAATTTTTTAAATAACTTATTATCTAATGATCATAAAAAAATAAAATTAATTTATTGGATTCATCTTATTAAGACCTATTAAATGATTATATTTTTATATTTCTGAGATTAATAAATAGCAATATATATAGAGATCAAGCTATTAAAATCACCTTACAGGATTTCACCAACCAAAAATTGAGATTTTTGATTCATATTTTTATATAATATATGAACTTTATTTGGTTAAATTTTTATAATCAATTATCTTATTAACAAAGCAAACAATTAGGCTATCAAAATTTCTCATTTTTTATGTAATATCAATCAAAAAATCTAAAATTGGATTTTAAAAATGATTAACATAAAATTTGAAAATAATTAACATTATTATTTAAAAAAGTTAAAAAGTTTGACCCTTATAAAATAACCATTATTAATAATTTAAATATGTAATTGAATAGGAAAATCTGAAGATATTTAATATTTCATTAAATATTTTTTTTTAAAAAAATTAAATTTTCTGATAAATTCGCAAAATTTCAAGTATTAAAAAATTAGTCTGGTAAAATAATTTTAATAATAAAATTTATAAATTTTATAATTATTAAATAAAATTACAATTAAATTTATTTGCAATATGCTCAAAGTAGTGTTTTATAAATCAGATTAAATCAAATTTATTCAAAATTAATCTAAAGAAATTTAAAAATTTATTTCTTTTTAATGAAAGAAACTTTTTTGGTTATAAAAGAAGTTAAATTTGAATTTAGATCTAACAGATTAAATCTAAATCTGAATTTGATAAATTAAATTTGAATCTAAATTTAAGTCTAACAGAATAAATCAAATCTAAATTTAAATTTAAATCAGATCTGTATTTATATATAATAATAATTTGAAAAAATAATATTTAGTAGCAAATAAATATAAAATTAAATCAAAATAAATTTGTAATTAAAAAAGTAAAAAAACTAACTCAATACATATAAACTATATATTTCTATTTTAATACTAGAATATAATCTAATATTTAAAATATAAAGATAAATTAAAATTAGTAAATCATCAAAAATCAATTAAAATTCAGCCTAACTAATTAGTATATATTAAATCAGCCAAAATTTAACTTACTTTATTTATAATTGATTAGTATACTTATAACTAATTATAATATATTAAGAATTAACTAATATTTAATTTATCTTATTTATAGTTAATTAACATATATATTTATAACTGATTGATATATATTAAAAATTAATTAAAATATATTATTATTTTATGATATTAATGATTAAAAAATAGTATTAATGCAAGATTACCAAAGAGATTTAGTTTTAATCAATACTTTAAAAGAGCTTTGAAGGGTTTACAAATAATTATTATTTCAAATAATAACATATATTTAAAATAAACTTTAAAAATTTTATTATGTAATAAATAATTCAGTATAATTATATTTGTTAACATATAAGGATGCTATCAGATATTACTTAATATTATGTTAATATAAGAACCTATCCCTCTCTTTCAGGTAAGATATGCTGTATAATCATGTTATATGATTTGATATGTAATCAAAAATTTAAAATAAAATTGATATAGTTTATTATAGTGATAAATAAAAAAATAGTTTATAGTCTAATCTAATACTTAAATTTGGGGGAAATGGAAGAAATTCACTAAAAAAAATAAAATTCTATGATGTTTGTAATGATACTTTCCAAAAATTAGCTACAATAAAATTCACAAAGTATTGACACGTATATTTCGTGTTTAGTATTTTAAAACATTTACACTTGCAATATTCTTTTATAAAAATATTGATATTTTGTTACAAATGAGTTATTAAACATTTTTTCTTAGCCCTAAATTTAATAAAAAACCAATATATGATTCACTAACAAATAAATATCAGAAGTTTACAAATACTTATATATATAGTATTATGGTAAAATCAAGAAACTACACTCTTGATCGTGCCATTATTTGTCAAGAAGCTATAAATGAATAGAATAAAATTAAGAAAAAGAGTGTTGATGATATTGATAATATAATTCAGAACTATATGATCACACCACTTAATCTATATGACATACAGTTAATGTGATATAAATATTCTATACTTACAGAAAAATCGAACACCTTTCCCTCTTTTTTCACCATTCATTCAATAAACCCTCTACCAGAAATTTTCATCAATACTTTAGCTCAAAGAAAGGCAGCAGATGCAATTTAAATAGCTGAAAAAAAAATTTATGAATTTGAGCAGATTTACAATATTTCAAGTGATGCTCAAATTTGTAATGATATGTACCAAAAAATAAAAAGCTTACAGAATGAAGTTAAATCTAATAAAGATAAAATTGCAAAGTTAAAAAGAAATGCCAAATATGCTCAAAATTGCAAAGAAAAAAAATTGAAACAACTTATTGAAAACAAAGAGGTTGTTCACTATGATAAACCTAAAAAGCTACTACTTCTTTTTGAGTATTCAGATTTGTATGAGTATATATATAATTGTGTGAAGTTTAGATCAGTTAAAGTAAAATAACAAAAGAAAGCTATCAAAGTTCAGACAATAGAACATCTACGTAAAAATCTTGAAAAAAGGTACAAAATCTACATAGTAAGAACTATATTGAAGTTACCTTTTACCCTGTCAATCAAATTTAATCACTGTAAAAGCACATCATCACCCAGCATGGGTTGCAGTCAACAGAGTTTTACATACTGAGATGCATAAATATCCCAATAGTCATTATTATCTCGCATCAGTAAAATGTGCAAAGCAATTTGCTAGCACTTTTGCTGATATATCAGTGATTATCTCTCAAAATGACAAAGCAAAGATCAGACTTGAAATACCTGCAGTAGGTCACACATTCCGTACATTACAATCTGTTAATAAATCTATAACTATAGCAGACTATGATTTTCCTATAGAATTTGAACAAAAATTAATTCTATCAGTATATTTGATGATAAATCTAATGAATCTAATGATGAATTGCAAACAGGAAAAGTAGCAATTTTTATATATTCTTAATAGTCTCTTAGCATATCTTCACTTACGCATATGCAAAACTTGAAAAGCTTTGCTTTAAATCCTCAATATGATGATATGCTGAAAATGAACAGAGCAATTTGACTAATATGGATTTTATTGGTGAATGAAAATCCAGATGAGAATCCTAGGCATTTAAAAACTATAAAATCTTATTATCAACTTTTTAAAAAGTTTAACTTGGATTATTTAAGTGTAAGAATGCATGTCTTAAGTCAATCAAAGTACAATCCAATTGAAAGAGGTATGACAACATTATCTGATAAATTCGCAGGTATTACTTTACCAATTGATCATTTTTGTATGCATTTGAATTCACAAGGAAAAGTTATAGATCCAGAATTAGCTGCTCAAAATTTTCACTATTTGAAAGAAGTCTTTGTAAAATTTAGCGTCATGATTTGATTTTTAGAAAGAAAGTCGATGCTTATTATATTGATGTATTCATGAATCCATTTGAGTATATACAGTTCAAGAGAACGGAAAGAGAAAATGTTGAAAAATTAAAAAGAAAAAAAAAGAACAAAAAAATTAAATGATATAAATAAAGAAATAATTCATATCCATTCTGAATGTTTAGTATCATAATTTTGGATCGAAACTCACTGTAATTTGTGTACCTATTCTCTTAATATCAAATAATATATAAATGCCAGTTGCTGTAAATCACCTAGAGCTGAAGAAGCTATAGATTTTCTTTATCTATATAATAGCTTCTTACCACTAATTACTAAAGCTAAAGGTGGCCAATTTATTAACCTAATTCATCTTCTTTAGTATGAGAACTTCTAAAAATATTAGGTTATGATACACATTGTGTATCTATTGAAAAAAATACATATTTATGACTTTATTGCCCTACTTGTCAAAAATATTTTCCCACTCTCACATTTCTAATAAATCACAAATGATTTATACATCCTCCTTCTCGAAAATAACCTAAAAACAGCAAAACTCATCTTTTAACGATCTTTCTCTTTTTTCATCTCAACAAAAGAGGTCGTCATGTGATAAAATAAAACTTAAATCAAAGGCTTGTAATTAAGATAGAAAATAAGTAAATTTTATAAAAAATGCGTTAAATATATGCGTATATATTATAATGCTATAAATGCTATATCAATCCATATAATAAATGTGTATCAAATTTTACTAAGCCACTTTTATCAAATGATAATCACATGATATACTATTATTATATGACTATATTATATATAACTTAAAATCTTTGCTATTTCCCTCCCCTTAAGATATTAGGTAATATCTGACAGTATCCT